TTAAAAAAAAATAAACAGACGACAAAATTTGTTTTTTCAATTATTTTAAAAGATGTTTCAATTAGAAAGCAGCTGACTCAAGCAAAATCTCGTCATAGTCCAACAAATATAGCCCCGGTATTCTCACATTCTACCATAGACTTTCACACATTATCGGAGATTTCTTTTAGAAAATGCTGCATTTACAGAGAACAAAAATAAACCAACACACATTCAAATACACATGAAATTTATTAAAGCAAAGAAAAACACATTGGCACAATAAATAATCATAATTTATGGCAAGGGACAGACAAAATAAATAAACAGTACAAAACACGGAGTGAAAGACAAAAAGCGGGACCCGCAAGTGGCAACCTCCAGCCTTCTGCTCAGAGAAGGGTATCAATATCATCTACAATAACGCTTACATCCACAGATGCCCAGACCAACATCCATTGGAAAGAAGTGAATCAACACTGAAACCTAGTTCTAGACCAAGACAGGATGCGATTCTCTGTGTCTGTCGCTTGTACGTTCAGTAGACCTGTGAATGATGCCTCTCTGTGTCACTTCTACAGCCAGTAGACCTGTAAATGATATCTCTGTATCACTCCTACTGCCTGGACACAGATGTCTTTGAATCACTCCTAAAGCCAGTAGACAGCTAATAGTTGTCTCTGAATTACTCCTAAGCCAGTAGACAGCTAATAATAGATGTCTTTGAATCACTTCTTCTGCCAGCAGACAGCTACTAGATGTTTCTGTATCACTCTTATTTCCAGCAGACAGCTAATAAATGTCTTTGAATAGCTCCTACTGCCAGTACGCAGCTCATAAATATCCCTGTTGCATCACACTTACTGCCAGTAGACAGCTAATAAATAATAGATGTCTTAGAATCACTTCTTCTGCCAGCAGACAGATAGATGTCTCTATATCACTCCTACTGCCAGCAGACAGCTAATAGATGTCTTTGAATAGCTCCTACTGCCAGTACGCAGCTCATAAATATCCCTGTTGCATCACACTTACTGCCAGTAGACAGCTAATAGATGTCTCTGTATCACTCCTACTGCCAGCAGACAGATAGATGTCTCTGTATCACTCCTACTGCCGGCAGACAGATAGATGTCTCTGTATCACTCCTACTGTCGGCAGACAGACAGATGTCTCTGTATCACTCCTACTGCCAGCAGACAGATAGATGTCTCTGTATCACTCCTACTGCCGGCAGACAGATAGATGTCTCTGTATCACTCCTACTGCCAGTAGACCGGTAAGTGATGTCTATGTATCACTCCTACTGCCAGTAGACCGGTAAGCGATGTCTCTGTATCACTCCTACTGCCAGTAGACCAGTAAGCAATGTCTCTGTATCACTCCTACTGCCGGCAGACAGACAGATGTCTCTGTATCACTCCTACTGCCAGTAGACCGGTAAGTGATGTCTATGTATCACTCCTACTGCCCGTAGACCGGTAAGCGATGTCTCTGTATCATTCCTACTGCCAGCAGACAGCTGATAGGTGTCTCTGTATTACTCCTACTGCCAGTAGACCGGTAAGCGATGTCTCTGTGTCGTTTGTACGTCCAGCAGACAGGTAAGCAATACCTCTGTGCGTCATCGGTACGGCCAGTTTGGGAGTCCAGTTGTCCGTTTCGTCCAGTCTATAAAGGCTGGGATGCTCCATTAGGCTTGGGTCAGAAATCTGTTGGATTAAAGATGCTTTTAGTAAGAATTTTATGCACTTGGCACACAAATTGGTCATTATTGAGGATTAGAGGTGTTACAAGAGAGCAACATAAAAAGAAAAAGGAGAGATAAGGACGACAGGTGTTTGACAGGAAAGAAGGAGCAAACCACACCAGAGAGCCCACAAACCTTGCTCCATCAATTTGGAACTCTCTTCCCCAACCCTTGAGACACACAACATCTGAGTCTAAATTTTTAAAATTTTTAAAATCTTTAAAGACACATTTAATGACATCATTTTTATGTAACTAGATTCAGTTTCATGATTTCTGTATTTTGCGAATTGCATTGTGTATTTTATCTTATTATGTATAATAGGCTACATGTGTATGTACTCATTTTGAAACGATGTGTATGTGTGTGTGTTTGGCGTGCATTTGTGTGTGCACACGTGTGCGTGAGTGTGTGTTTATGAGTGTGAGTATGTGTGTATGCGTGTGTGTCGCGTGCGTGAATATTGTTCGTACATGCATTTATGTAACACGGGAGTGGGCGTTATAGAAATGATCTTCATTATTATAATTATTAAACCACGGGCTGGAGTAAAGAGAAGAAAGTCGTCACAACAGCAATTTGTTGGAGTAGGGACAAAGTAAGACAGACAGAAACAACAGTGGAAAACAAAAGAAAAATCATCTCCCAAAGATGCCATTAACACACTAAGCAGTCAAAATATGTAACTAAATGACAAAATGAGCCACATGTGGCATTTTGACAATATACAAGTAATACTATTGATATCAGATTAAATGAGAAAATAGTATTTATCTAACTTCTTTGGTTCCAAAGTTAGAGAGACAAAAACAAAACATCTTGGAACAGCTGAGCGAGACAAACAAAGCATTGTCACTACACAAATAGCAGTTGTTACCTACCTATGACAATGAAGCATTTGTTCCCTTGTACCCCTGTCTGGACTAACATCTGGTCCTCTTGCTTGTCATGGGAGTACCTCCAGGACTCCTGAGGGGGCAGACAGTTGAGTAATTAGAGTAAAAAGAAGAACAATGACTCTATAACTGTCATTTTGAGCAGGAAAAAAGCAAGTCAGACAGACAGAAACATAAGAAAGAAAGAACAGAAGTAGGGCCAAACAGTGGAATCCTCCAACCACATACAGTAAGTTTAAGTAATGAGATGCACATCTGTACAGTAATGGCTATTTAGTGTAGGAGAAAAAACCCAGACAGACAGATGGAGAGAATCATAAGAGGGAAAGTAAAGAAAAACCTACCGGTGGCGCCCTCTTACCACCTACATCTCCCACCTGAGCAGTCAGATTATGATTGTGTGGGTATGTGTGTGTAACTATGGTTCAGGTTCTAGTTTAGTTTTAGCAGTTTTACGACACTTACAGCACCTTAAGATAATATAAGTGCTGAAGATAGAGGTGTTACAAGAGAGTAACAAACACAAAAAAGAAAGCAAGGAGATAAGGACAACGACAGATATTTGATAGGAAAGAAGGTGTAAACCACACCAGACCACTTGTCAACCTGTTGAACCACCCATGGTTCAAGTTCAAAGTCCCTCTCGACACCAAAAAATTATTTAGAAACGGAACCTTCAGAACACTTTGTCCATCATCAACATAGGATCATGCTAAATGGATAGACAGTCTTACCCCCCCCCCCCCCCCAAAAAAAAAAAAAGAAAATCCCAACTACTCAAACAGAAAAACACTGCAATGAGGATTAGAAACAAGGGTCATTCACTCCATGGCTCAACATTATAACAACTCAGCTGCTAACCACACATCCTTGTCTGTGTGTGAGTATATATGGTTAAAAATATTAACAGACAAATACAGCCCTGCACAGATAAAGTACATATCCTTGATCTATATGAGAAGTAAACATTCTTGAAAGACAAGGGCAAAGACAGTTACCTTTGTAGGGTTGTTCGTTTGAGAACTTTGCGGATGTCGACCATGGTACCGTCACTGAGAAATAGAAGAAACAACACAATTATTATAAGTTCTTACACAGGGTTTCCATAATGGCTGAATACATTGGCAAAACAAATATTTTCAAGAAATGCAGTATAAATTGTCTTAGACTGACACCCACTGTCGAAAAGAAGGGAGGTTGACGTTTCGCCGCAATTACGTCACATAGTTTACCTGAGGAAAAAAAGAATGATCGTTTCGCCGCAAATTGAATTCGATTACAACTAGATTTAATTTAGTACGATGTGGTGTCTTAAGGACAGAATTTAAAAAGCTTGAAGCTCACGTACTTGACGAATTTCTCGATGTTGATTTGCCATTGTACACAGGGCCTGCCATTGTACACAGGGCCTGTTAAGGGCTGTTTGCAATTTGCTGTGTTCAGTTTTAACTTTGTTAGTTGCTGATGGTCAATTATGTTTTGGAAGTAGGACTTTAAGCAGGATAGGTTTATATAATGTCATGACAGTGAAGATAAAAATGTGATGTGAAGATAAAAATGTGATGTGAAGATAAAAATGTGATGTCTCAGATATAAAGTTGTTGAAAAACCCCAAAGTTGTTCAAACTGGGCTGCCATTCTTCACGTGAAAGAGTGGGAATGACCAAGAACGAGACCAGTACTTACAATGAAGGGAGAAAGGGAGAGATTGAGTCATTATAACAGTTTACCCCTCCCGTGTTCTCATTGACACAGTAGGCCTAGGAGCGTTTACAAATTTTGTTTCAGAGGCTTTCACAAATTAATTGATCTTCTATCTTCTGTGTAAGTAACTTGTATTCGAATACGATTTGCGGCGAAACAATTTCCAGACTTGGACAGGTAGTCCCCTGTTGCGTCATTGGCGGCGAAACCTAACGTGCCCGAAAAGAAAAGTGGTTGCCCCAGACAGGTGGACATCTTAGAGTAGGAAGTGGTCATTAGTACAGGTGATTGTCTTGTATAGGTGCTCATTAGAGTAAAGGGGTTAAGTGAGCAGTGAGTTCAGACTCAAGTAATGTCAAGCAAGTGTCGGTGACACTGAGTTTAGATGGGTGGTCACTGGGGTGTGTCCTTGAGGAAGACACGACAACCCTAGCTCAAAATTCAGGGCGCTGCACAGTGGTGACCAGCGATGTCATGTTTGTGAAATTGTTCTGTATTGATGTAATATTGAGTATTTATGTAAGTATTTGAGCATGCATTTATGTATGCCTGTATTTAAAATTAATGTATTTATGTATACCATGTGTGTAATATGTATGTTTGCCATTGTAAACCAAATAGCCCGTCTAGGATCAATAAAACTGAATTTGTTATTTTTCAAAACATTTTATTAGAGCAGTTTCAGGTGTAAACATAAAATGTTAAGAAAAAAAGTCTGAACACTGTTCAGAAAAATCAGTCTCCAGACAAAGTGCTATTGTGCAAACTGGAGCCATTACAGCAGACAACATTTGAGATTGACAACTTACCCAGAGTTCTCCTTCTCCTTCCGACTCACGTCATCTTCAACGCAGTCACCGTGACTCTTGACGACGTGCGATGTTTTCCTCAGCGACACACGCTGTAGCGCTGCCAGAGTGACTACAGGCTGATTGCTGGGCGCAAGCGGCTGAAGACAAAACAGATGGGATTTATGAGCTGCAGAAGAAATTTTCATACGGTAAAACCTTCTCATAAAGATTATTTCAAAAACCCCATTCAACAACTTTGATGGAAAGTCTACGTTATGCAGACCTGCCGACCCCTTCATGATCAGACCTATGAACTTTCCTCGGAATCCTAAAAAATATTGAGTTTCACAGTGGAATCCTGTTATAACGAGAGGGAGGGGACAGGAGCAAAATGTCCGTTATAGCAGGATTCTCGCTATATGTCCGTTATAGCAGGATTCTCGCTATAAGGGATCCAGTAATAAATTCAAGGGAAACTGTAAAGTTTATTTCCTTTTGCTATCTCTCAAATGATGATTTGTGAGGCAGCGTGGTGGAATCAGGCTCTCGTCAAAATAATCAAAGTGAAAGCTCTCGTCAAAATAATCAAAGTGAAGAAAATTGAATTTTTGTTTTTTGGCTCAATACCTTTCATGCCCATTAAATAACTCACTTCTGTGTGATGCCCATTAAAGAACTCACTTCTGTGTGAATTTTTCTGAAAAACGTTGATTAAAGGCACAAAAAATGTAAATTTTCTGTTACCACGAACTCTTAAACTAAGTAAATGACTAATCTTTGGCGGCCATTTTCTCATTAATTCTACCTCTGAAAACAGGTGACCCCACCTCCTTTTTTCCCAAATATCTCGACTTGTATTCAAGATAAATGGATATCTTTTTCATCCAAATAAAGACAAGAGAACAAGCTTTAAGATGATACCAATAACTCTACATGCCTTAAAATTGACGAGAGCCTGATTCCACCACGCTACCTCACATTTTGTTTCAACATGACCTCTAGGTCTTACTTGATCAAAAATTGAATCAGGTTTCTTTTTCTAGCTCTAGGTCTAGCGATGTGGACTGACAGCTCGGCATTGGCGATCAGAAAGAAAGGGCTCTGGGCTAACTCGCCCGCTGTGTTTCCCCCCACCCCACCCCATCCTGTGGGGCTTTCTGTCTGCTTGCGCACGTCACACATTCCCTCCATCCATCACATTGCTGTGACCTCTTCATCCCCGCATCGGAGAAGTGAGAGGCACGGTAGGCCTTGATAACTAAACTAGGCGTACGCTGGCCTATCACGCAATGCGTTCTGCTTGTCTGCGCATGCCTCCCTAATCAGTCGCTCCGGCCTTCATTGGTGACACACATGGGCTCTCCTATTCTTTGTTTCTCAAGATCACAAACAAGTTTCTCAAATGACAAGGTTTTGCAATGGCCTATGCACTGAGCACAGCAGCAGCAATATTCCGCTATAACTGACTCGCATGTTTGATAGCGCTATAGCAGTATTTTATTTACAAAGGTAAAGAGGAGAAAAAAAACGGGGTTTTAGAATAGTTTCTTTATAACAGACTTCTCGTTTTTTCCGGACTCCTTTTAAGTGGACTCCACTGTATATCAAAAGAAAAACTTCCACATGAACTTAAATCCAACGCAATAAGGCACAAAAGTTCCCATTTGATCTAATGATAATCTCACATGTCTACCAACCTTGGCAGAGAGGTTTCCGTCCTCGTTGATTCTTGACCTCAGGTCGGGGCCGCCTGTCCTCTTGAGCTTCACGCTCCTCAGAGCCTCAACAGTGATCTCAGGCAACAGAGTCCCGCCGACCGCCTGCGACAGAAAAATGAAAAATGATCAATTGATGAGGACCCGACAGACATGTGGCGTATCGTCCATGGCACGGGAGGTGTGCAGCAGACTTGTTTATTTTCGTTTGAGCCAACTGACAAGCTAGACACAGACTTGGAAAAATAGATGACAGGTGACAGGAAAAGAACAGGATAATAATAATACAGTTTAGTGATTTTATCTTTTTAACGGTATCCAATGACTCAGATTCAGAAAAACTTTAAAATCTTTGAGCGTTAGAAATCAGTGACCACTGAAGTGTGCAAAAGAACCCCTGCCCCCCAAAAAAAAACAACAACAAACAAACAAACCAAAAACCAAAAAATATACCAAAACAGAAGAAAAGATCTATCAAAACTTACAAACAGGTGATGTGAATAGACAAGGGCAATATGTTTTTTCAAGAGCATCCCGCAGAAAAACCGGTGCTGGCTTTTTTTTTTTTATGTAGTTGCTTTTATACCCCCATTGACACAATTCAGATTATTTAAGAGGTGGGCTTTTGACCCTGCCAGTCGGGCCCAACCCAGCCTGAGAGGGATACATCTCAGCAGAAAGATGAAGGTACTTATAAAAATGTTCTCCCCACTTGAGAATCGATCTCAGATCTCCTGCATGCAACAGCTAAGCACCAAACTATTACACCACAGACAGGTCCAATATCTGTTGCAGATCCGTCACTTGAAGAGAAAAAAAATATTGGCAAAAATGACTTTCACTCACCCTCATTTTCTTCATGACCTGATCCTTTGTCTCACCCTCATTTTCTTCATGACCTGATCCTTTGTCTGAACATCTGTCTTCAATCTTCGAATCACAGGCATAAAATAGGGTGGAGGAGGAGGAGGAGGAGGAGGAGGAGGAGGTGGGGCTGGTGCAGCCGCGCTGGATACGAGCATATCAGGAGGGGCATACTCTTTGCCTCTTGCCTTCTCGCTGACAAAAGACGAAACCTCGGACACCGCTGGCCCGTGAGAATGAGCCTCAGAGTCCGACTTGGAGCTGCTCAACAACCTGAACATGAAATGGAGAAAAGAAAAGATGTCAGTACACAATTGTCTTTGGATAAGATCCACCACTTACAATCTCGGTTCACTTATGATCCCGCTGTTTCAAGAAAGCAAAATTATAACTACACAAAAGTCAACACTAAAATACTTCTCTGAAGTACCACATTGGCCCACGATCCCGCACTTACCTTGCTCCGAAGCACAGGGATCTGTGGCAGAGACTACTGTATACCACTTTCTTCATTTCCTTTTATTCTTGTAGTAGTCATTGGGGAAATATGTTGTCACAAATCCAAATGACAGAAAGCAACTAGAAAGTTGTTACAAAGCCCAATAAGGGATGCCCAACGTTATAACATCATATTATGTTAGAAAGAGCAAAATTCCATCAAGTGGGACTGGTTTTGGTACAGTGTAAGAGACAAGGCTTTAAAATTACCAATAGTCGAATCATGGACAGTCCTTGAAAATTCTGGACAGTTGGCAAGCCTGCATAACCAGTACTGATCTATAACAGCAAATGTGCCCTACTGGCTAAGTTGATATCATTTTGGACTATGGAACTGATGGCCTTAGTCAAATCCCCAAACAAGACATTCTGAACTTGATTTGGGGTGTTTTGGCTCAGTCTTATAGAAGATGAGTGTTAAACTTAGAAATCCTGCCTCTTAAAATCCTTACAGTGTTGAAAGGGTATTAAACCGACACAATGACAACCCCCCTCCCCACTCCCCCCTCCAACACACCCAAATAGTATGACACACCCTTACACCTTCCTTGACTACAAACATATCAAGATCTGAAGAGTGGGAAGTAGCTCTGTCTGCCACCTAGGCAAAGCGATGTCATGCATACTGCTTCAATATCGTTTGTCACTATGCAAACAATGGCCAAACATACCTTGCACTAGAAGATTCTGAGAAGAGACCGATGTAGTCTTCTGGATCCACGCTGCTCCCCTCTAGTTGCACACAAGCGTAACTTGGCTTCAAGCAGGCAGCACAAACATGTTGACGACACACCCCGAGAGAGCCCAAACCTGAAGAACTGGACCTGACCTCCGCATTCCCCTGTGAACACAATGGGGGGAAAAAAATGATAAACCATTCAAACACAAGTGATATGCTAAATCCCAGTAATTAGACTACAAAATACTTGAAAAAAGCATCCATCTAGATAAAGTTTACATTTTCTTTCCTGCACAACTAGCCACAGTTACATAAGTCTACCATTGTTAACAAGTCTACTTTCTCTCCTTCACATTGACAAATTGATATTTCTTGCATTCTTGATATTTCGTACCAACATTAAGTTCACATTGGCATTACATACCTGGTTAGTTTTAGCAGCTTCTAACTCCGCCTCCAATTCAGCAATCCTAGCAGACAATCTGTCAGATGTCGTCAAGCCAGACAATAATCCTCTTGCTGCTGTTTTACCCTAAAATGGAGGGGGAAAATGTGAGGAAAAAAAAAGAGCAAAATCAAATTTAATGTCAATGTTCATGCTGAGTCATAATGCAAAAGTATCAAATCTCATGGTCCACTTAACATACATCCCCCCTCCCCCCACCCTTCTAGTTTGAGAAAGAGAACATATTACTTTTTAAGCTATTTGATACGGTTTGATGCAACTGGGATGACACTGGCCAGGGCACACTACATTAACTTGACTTCTACACTTTGCGTTTCGTGTGCGCAAACAAAAGATCTGACCATGTAGTAGGTCTACTTAGTAGCCTTCTGATTGATTGTTTACATCAACCATATAAAATCGTGACATACGAAATCGAAAAATTTTGATTTTGGAGGATGATACTCATTGTACACTGCCAATTTGATTCTGTCTAGGTCAGCCAGATTTTCCTTCATGGATGGAGCAAAAGCTACCTTTTTGGCACAAAACAATTGAATATTCAATTAAATTAGACAGATTTTCGTAATCAAACAAATGAATTTTTCAAAATCACAAGTCGAATCATTTGTGTGTTGTGTCAAAATAGTAGCTCTTTCCCCCCCCCCATGAAGGAAAATCTGGCTTACCCTGATGGAATTAAATAAAAGAGTATATATATTCAAATTGTGCCTTTTAGTCCCTGCATAAAAAAGGAAAACCTGGCTGCCCTAAAATTATATATCAAATAGAGATTTGATGAAACTTTCTACAATGTGCTCTGTATATTAGAATCTCATCTCTCCGAGTTTCTCTATACACTGAACACTAGTATCTAAACACTTTCTTGTTTTACTTTACCTGAGATAGCATCCTCTGATGAAGGGCGAGACTGTTGCTGAAATCAGGGTTTACTCTACAATTCACAGACATGAAAGCTAACTCCTCATCTCCAGTCAGAACCGTTGCGCCAGTGAAACGCTGGCAGCAACCTGATCACATTTTTAACCATGAAAAGTTTAAGCCACAAATATCGATTTTCGACATAACTGAAAACAGGTCCCTTTTAAGCGCATAGAGCTACTTTTTTGGGGGAAATGTGCTATAATATAAATGTAAAATATTATTATTTATTATTTTTATTTTTATTAGGAGTTCTCGGGTGAATGAAAGAATAATCAAAATAGGTACACAAATAAAACCTCTCATGTAGCCCGTGTTAAGAAAAGAACACACTGTTTTATCTTTCCTTCATCAGCAGAATCAATGGATGAAAAGTGAAAAAAAACTTCTTTGGATGTTAGTCATGGAGCACAAGTATGACTTAAGCACTGCATTCTCTTTTTCAAGAATGAAGATAAAAATGAAAAGAGGTAAACACTTAGGGATACAAAAATCTAGATTAATATGATGACATTTTCATCCTACAAAGCAAATATAAATCCTTACCATGTTGAATGCATCAAGCATCCATCCCGTCACATAATCCATTGCTGTAGATCAGACAGAGTTGGCAAATCAACTGTGAGAAAAGCTGGGGAGAAATGGAGAAATGTTTAAAGAAGCTGCAGTTACAGAGAAATAAGAACCAAGAACCAAGAACCCACACACTAGCGATGATAAGGCCGAAACAGTGGCAAAGATTTGCACTCAAGTTCAAGACCCAACTCCCCCTATTGCAAGTTGAAAGAAAAGAATTGAAAAAGAAGAAAAGAATTGAAAAAGATGAAAACATCACTATTTTATGCTTAAATTTCATTCTCAAGACCCAAGTTGCTTTGATATTTAAAAAAAAACAACTAATTAAGTTTAAGCCACAAATTTCCTGAATGTTGATGTTGAAATACAGAAATATGTGTACTAATAACTAACTGAATTACAGGGCTAGTTGGGAACCAGAAACATGAACATGTATTTCAAACAGTGAGCTCCAACTTCACTTGGCACTACACTACCAGTCAGTGCAAAAACAAACTACAGACCACTTAGCCTACTGCTCTAAAACTAATAATAATTGGGTCTCGGTGGCAGTGTCAGTGCTGCATTCATCTTTTAAAGTAGTACACATGTGCATCTGGGTATTATATTGGACCATGCGTTTTTCTATCCTGATTAGGTTCATTTATCATTTTAAAATGGCTGATTTTGTACACTGTTTTTGGGATTGTAAAGGATACAGCCTTTATCAGCAGACCTCCAAAAGCAGGCTGCTACAAAGTCATGAATTCTCAGCAGTTTTTCATTCACTCACAGCCTGACATAATTCACTTGAGAATCCTACTCAGGAAGAGCTCAGGTAAAGGGGGGAACCAATTAGTTAACATGGTATAGGAACTGGACAATGAAACTTGGCTTGGGATCAAAACAGCACTTTAAGTAGAATAGCAAGCTGATTTATTGAAGAAAAGTCCAAGAAGCAACGTCCGAAAGCTAAAAGAAAAAGAAGAATCTGACAGTTTTGAAACATTTGCAGCAGTCTACAAGTAAGACAGAAAAGTCTCTATTTTGCTGCTCTCTGTAATTTGAGTAGAGTATTTCTGCATACATTCCCTAAAAGTCCTTTGGAAGTCCAAGAAGAGGATGAAGTAGTGTGGCTAAACAACAGAGGTGGACAAAAATATAAGAGCTGAATATTGTTTTCGATGCCTGTTGTTTTATTGAACAGTTGATGCAAGTCAGGCAAATAAAATAATCATGCTGAAACTCTTCCAGCCGGGAAAAACCTTTTAGTCGGCCAACGTTTACCATTTAACGATCAAAAGGGAAATGGTTAAGGCTGGAAAAACTATAAAAATTTAATTAATTTGGTTTGCACACACAACACTTCTGTGATGTGAAGTCTGGCATGCGCTATCATGTGCTGAACATGTTAACGTAAATTTTTACTTCTAGACCAGCACGCAGATATGCACTACATAATATTGGCTATGGAACACACATCGGCAATTAAAAACCCTCACAAATGAATTTTTAAAAAGTAACAAACCTATTGCAAAACATAAAGTGAAATGCATGGGGGCATGCCCATCTGAAATCACCCATATTGGGTAAACAATAAGTAAACTATAGATACTAGTACTAATCTGTCCCATTTGATTTTATAATAATATATAATTACTACTACTAATCTGTCCCATTTGATTTTATAATAATATATAATTTATTATATCATGAATGATATATTAATTGCCCATGCCATTCTATAAAAACTTAAATAATTAGCAGTAGACACTACTATGATGCAAAGTGCTTGAGAATCTGAGTCCATCAAAAGCAAAAAAAAATTGCCCAAGATACCAGATCTATAATATATAACATAACGATCCAATCAAGCACCCATGGTGAAAGCCTACTATATATACAATCAATGTAGACTCTTTGCCTTTCATTAAGGAAGTATAAAAGCTTCTGCTACAAATCAATATAATTTGCCAATGAAGAAACAAGTTTAAGTTCCTGAAGAAGTGGTTCCTGCCTCAAAGTGAGGAAACAGCCATACACATCTATAATATTAACGCCATGTTGTTCCCAATTACAAAAAGACACAGAGGATTTCTAGTAACGACGCATGACGGGCTCATTTACAACAAACAGACTGAGAAATATATTATCAAACGTCAACTGCCATTGCAAGTATTAATTTTTTTTAAACAATGTAGATTAACTTCCCGGCATGGCTGCTGGTTGCCAGGAAAACTTTTTAAACGCATGTACCGAGTAAAGTTTTTTTGGTTTTTTTCCTGAAAAGAATTGCTGCCATACCACAGAATTCTACACTAAGTGTAGAATTCTGTGTGCCATACTTTCAGTTGCCTCCCAGGAAACCTACGCACAGAACCTTGAGCCGATTTAATACAAGGTTGCTTTTTTTCCATTTTTGAATTTGTATATATAGTTTTAGTATGAAAATCAATAAAGATTCCGACGCCACCCACGATTCATGTAAAGGAATCGGGGTTCAGTGTGCCCACTTCGGGGCGCTGAGCGGCCAATCCGGTATAAGGCGAAGAACCAGCGCGTCCCTCGCAACGAACTGTAGGCTTTCATATAATCATAGAGCGTGAAGAGAAGTGTGATGCACTCAGTCATGATTTTTTTTCTTCTGATGTTTAATCATGTATGCCTACGCAATTATTAGTCAGCACCTGCTGATTTTGGAAAACTTATTGCACGTAGGCCACAAATGAACGATAGACAGATATAGTGTGTGTGTGTGTGTGTGTGTATGTGTGTGTGTGTGTGTGTGTGTGTGTGTGTGTGTGTGTGTGTGTGTGTGTGTGTGTGTGTGTGTGTGTGAGAGAGAGAGAGAGGGGGGGGGGAGTGAATGAGTTACTAAATTTGTATATAAAAAAAGACACTTGTGTGCCTCACAAAATGGCTTAGATCTCGTTTTTACACAATTTTGATTAGATACTAGAGAGAATCTACTTCTACTGATGCAGAAAGAGATTGTCTTGAATATTTTTTTTTTACGAAAACAGATTTGGCTAAACTAGAATCTAGATCTAGATCTAAGTTTCCTTTTGATAGAAACTTCAATATTTTAACCCCTCCCCAAGATGTCTACAAAAGAAAGTTTCCTTTTGATAGAAACTTCAATATTTTAATCCCTCCCCAAGATCAGAGTATTTGATTTACAGCTAAAGTGTATAAAAAGGTGAACACCACGTGTTCTTTTCCGTTATGATAGACTCAAAAGAAGTTGAAGATTTGAATGCACAAAGTCAATAATTACATGTATTAAATATCAACTGAACGCATCTTAAAAAAATGTCTTTCTCACCTTCTAAATCTTGATTGATACACTCGTTTGTAGTTGATAGAATCAACTTAATAAAAAAAAGTTGACCATCTACACACTCTACAAGCTAAGGCTGTACTTTGATAATTGATTGAACTTTCCTTGTTTGTTTACGAAATGACAATCAAACTTCGCGGCATGACTGCTGGTTGCCAGGTAAACTTATTTAAAGCATGCACAGAATTCTACACTTAGGGCCTAGAAGAATTCTGTGAAAGCATGCAATATTTAATTATAATCTGTTGGTCAAATATTATAAATACCGGTCTCTGCGCTGTGGGCAGCAACGTACGTGCCAGATAGAAATCCCTACCTCACAGCCGCACTATGGTCAAACTGCCGTGCACTGCTAGACTCGCGCACTGATAGCTATAATAGGTCAATAATGCTTTAGGCCTATATGTCTAATGGTCCAATCAGATATATATGCTTCCACTGTAAATGGTGTAGCTAGCTTGTTTTCCATTGCGGGTTAAAATTAAGTACCAAGCAAACATATTATTATCTTGTTGGGACAAGATCAAACAGTCCAGGAGTCTAGGTTCTACATTTCGTGTTTCCATTAATTAACACCTCCATATAAGCTTTAGCTCAATTAGAGGGATTTTATGTTTTGTAACCCATTATTGATATTATTACTATTGTCTAGATCTAGACGTAGATCTATAGATATCTAGCGGTTCCTGGGTTGTTGTTTTCTTTTTATGAAATCAGTATTCGACTAACAACAACAATAAGAGGAGTCTTTATAAGAATTTGAGTCCCTCACCACCCTTTTGAATCTGTTTAAAGACCTACTACCCTTTGATCAAATCCAATGCATCAAGTGCATGTGTGCAGTCAAAATAAGAATGTCATTGAATTAGGCAGACATATAAGATAA